GCCTCTAATTCCACCTCTAAACACGCCCTCCAAAATTATCTCATGAAATTACACTGTTAAATGTTCCCCACATTACACATCAGGGTCCCCAGAGTCCCTCCACATTACATCAGGGTCATTAGAGTCCTCTGCACTGTACTGAGAAATTCTGTAATGATGGGTCCGTACTGGGAGGGGGGTCAGTACTGGGGTCTGTACTGTAGGGTGTGTACAGGGGGGAACTGTACTGAAAAGATTTTTATTGAGGGGTTAGCCTGGGAGGAGGGTCAGTACTGGAGGTGTGTGTATGGGGGGGGGTGTCTGTACTAGGGGTTCTGCACTGGGGATGTCTGTACTGGGAGATGTTTGCACTGCGGGGTATTTATACTGGGAGTCTTTACTGGGTGACCCTGCACTGAAAGAGTCTGTAATGATGGGTTAGGGGGTCAGTACTAGGATGGGGATCAGTTCTGGGAGTGTCTGTACACCGGGTTGTGTACTGTGGGGGATCTGTACTGAGGGGATTTGTGTTGAGGGGTTAGCCTGGGAGGAAAGGGCAGTACTGGAGGTGTTTGTATGGGGCATGTCTGAACAGGAGGGGGGTTGCACTGGGGGTGTCTGTACTGAGGGGTTAGGATTGCTGGGGGCAGCTGTTGGGGAGGGGGTTGTACTTATTGGTTAGGTTGGGAAGGGGGCCTGTACTGAGGGGTTAGGCTTTTGGGAGTTTGTACTGGAGGAGCTTGTACTGAGGGGTTAGGCTGGTAGGGGTCTGTACTGAGATATTTGGGGGCTCTATATTGAGTAGTTAGGAAGGTAGGGGGGATTGTAGTGAGGGTCTGTGCAGAAGGGCTGAAGGGTTAGGCTGGAAATTGGCATCTGTGCTGGGGGGGGGGGTCTGTCCTGGGGGGACTGGTAGTGAGGGTTTAGACTGGGAGGGGGATCTATATTGGCCTGTACTGAGGGAGTCTGTACATTTTGCTTTTAGGCCAAAAAGTTCAATTTTGGCCTCATCTGACCAGAACAACTTCTTCCATATGTTTGCTGTATCCCCAACATGGCTTCTCGCAAACTGTAAATGGGACTTCTTTTGGCTTTCTTTCAACAATGGCTTTCTTCTTGTCACTCTTCCATAAAGGACAGATTTGTAAAGTGCACGACTAATAGTTGTCCTGTGGACAGATTCTCCCACCTAAGCTGTGGATCTCTGCAGATCCTCCAGAGTTACCATGGACCTCTTGGCTGCTTCTCTGATTAATGCTCTCCTTGCCAGCCTGTCAGTTTAGGTGAACAGTAATGTCTTGGTAGGTTTGTAGTTGTGTCATACTCTTTGTTAGGATCCGCCAGGTGGTGCCTCAGGATGCCAACTGACAGACCTACCCAGAGCGTGGAGTCTAAGCCCGGTCTGTGCTTTCACCAGGGCCCCTGATGGTGGCGATGGACTTGTAACAGACCCGGGCCAGGTCACGACCTCCGAGCAGGCCCACCAGTGGCAGAGGAAGCCTCCGGGGACGTATGCAGGTATTGGGAGAGCCAGATGTGAAGAGGATGGCGGGACCTAGCAGGATGGTCACGGGCCGTGGTCCCGTGGGGGTAAGCGGGGTACCGAATTGGCAGGCGAAGAGTAGTCAGGTCACACGCAGGGTCAGCAGGGTACGTCAGTCCGCAGAATGGTCAGACAAGCCGGGGGTCAGAGTAGGAGAAGGCAGAGTAGTCAGGGCAATCCGGGTCAAATCACAGGAGCAGGCAGCGTAGTCAGGGCAATCCAGGTCAAATCACAGGAGAAGGCAGCGTAGTCAGGGTCAATCAGGGTCACTTAAACAGGTACAGGAACTCAGGATCACAGATAGACCTTGCGGCAATCTGTGACAGTGCAGGGCATCTTTAACCGTTTCAATACCGTGCAATTTTACACCTTCATGCCCAGGCCATTTTTCAGGTTTCAGTGCTCTCACACTTTGAATGACAATTGCGCAGTCATACAACATTGTACCCAAACTAAAATTTTATCATTTTCTTCACACAACTAGAGCTTTCTTTTGGTGGTATTTAATCACCGCTGGGGTTTTTATTTTTTTCTAAATTAACAAAAAAAGACCAAAAATTTTGAAAAAAAAACACATTTTTCTTTGTTTCTGTTATAAATGTTTACAAATAAATAATTGTTCTTCATAAATTTAGGCCAAGATGTATTCTGCTACATGTCTTTGGTGAAAATAACCCAAATTAGGATGTATTTTTTAGTTTGTAGGAAAGTTATAGAGTTCACAAACTATGGTATAGATCTGATTATTGATCAATCCTGAAGTACTGACGGCCAATCTAATTTCTTGAGGTCCAAGAATGTCAGAATAGTACAGATATCCCCAAATGACCCCTTTTTGCAGAGTAGACAGCCCGACGTAATTCATAAGAGGCATGGCGAGTTTTTTGAAGTTGTATTTTTTTGTCATAATTTTTCGGAAAATTAAAAAATTAAAAAAATTATTTTCACTATTTTTTTTTTTACATACTGTCACCAGTGCAGTACAGCATCTTCATATAACTGGCATGGCGGTGAACAGGGACACTGACTGGTGACAGTATGAAAAAAAAAATATATATATATATATATATTTTTTTTTATTATATTTAATTTTTTATTAAATTTTTTTTTAATTTTTTTTAAGATTTGCTTTTCATATTTTACTATGACCAAAGTAGTACAATGTTACCATAGTAATGTGATCAGTATTTTTTTTTTTTTTTACACAATTTGCTTATAGCAAAGAATTACTTTGCTATAAGCAAGCATTTACCTGAATGAAATCGATTCATTCAGCTTTTTTTTTTTTTTTTTTTTTTGTGCTTAGCTGTGATTTGGTCACAGCTAATCACATGACATGTGCATGTGATTAGCTGTGACCATTCACAGCTAGGCACTAGTATACAATGGATGGCATCATGAATGAAGCCATCCATTGTATACAACTGTCATGTGACCTGCTGTGATTGGTCACAGCAGGTCACATGGTACCAGCAACGGGAGCCAGTACTCGGATCTGTCATCGGCTGTGTCCGAGGTGCACGGCCGGTGAAAGATTGCACTGCTGCGCCGCTCTGCATTAGCGCAAACGGCGCATGTGCAGGAGCACGCCAAATGGCGTGCACCCGGAATGCAGGGACACATTTGAAGCCGCCAAACGGCCATTGGCCGGGCGGCTAATGGTTAAATAGTGCGCCCTGCACTGTCATTGGCCGGCCAGGAGGCGCCCCCGGCTGTCATTGGATGCCTGAGGCGCGCCCGCGGCTCTTACTGCGCATGCACTGGCTGTTTTATTTTTTGCTAAACAAATGAAAACATTTTGAAAAAAAAGTTTTTCTTAGTTTCTATTAAACATTTTTGCAAACGTACATTTTCTCCTTCACTGATGTGCACTGATGTGGCAGTAACGATAGGCAGCAGTGATGGGCACTGTTGAGGAGGCACTAATGAGGCTGTGCTGATATGTGGCACTGATGGGCACTGATAGGCAGCACTGAAGGGCATTTATAGAAAACACTGAAGGGCACTGAAAGTTGGAACTGACTGGAATTACTGATTGACCTTGATTGGCAGCACTGACGGAGATTGATTGGCATCACTAATGTACACTGAATGGCATTGATAGGCAGCACTAATGGGAACTGTTGGGGCTGCACTGATGAGCAGGGCACTGATAATAAGTGCCCTGATTATCAGTGTAGATCTCCCCTTTCACACTTGCCGGTTATCAGCAGTACCTTCCTTATGCTGTGACAGCGTGAGGAAAGTACTGCAAATAACTGGCAAGTGTGTTTACATAGTGATCAGCTGTGACTGAACACAGCTGGACATGTGGTAAAGGGGCCACTATGATTGGCCCTTTACTGTGATTTTTGATCAGCTATGTTTGAAAGACAGAGCAATCACAGAGAGCGCCAGGTGTGCGGTTCTGGGAGGGCGTCAGTAGATGCCCTCCCAGAATTGGATAAACGCGCTGCAGCCGTCATTCAGCTATAGTTCCGTCAACAAGTGGTTAAACAAACGTCTGTACACACACTGTCACCACAGACAGATACTGTATATCCAGAGATTTACCATGTAGTAGATCTCTACAAGTGACAGGTATTCTTTAAGCTTTGCGTTAGGGCATTAGAGACAATTTTAGTAATTTTCAAAATATTGTTTATAATGAAAAGGTAGAAAATGGTGCAAATAAAATATTTACAGAAAAGGGTATTACAAAGGTTACAAAGAGATAACAATGCAAAAGCAAAACAAAAGGGTTGAAAAATGTAAATACTTATCAAGCCTTTGTTTGCAGAGTCCAGTGAATAAGCAAGATGGTACAATGGCTCTCACAAGTAGACAAATGTTCCTTCTTTTGATAGTAAAACGAGATCTGTCAAGTGCAGGGCAGCTCCTCTTCTCTTGTCCATGAGGGGGTGTTGACAGAAATTATCTGACTTATTAACCACTTGCCTACCAGGCACTTATACCCCCTTATTTACCAGGCCAATGTTCAGCTTTCAGCGCTGCCGCACTTTGATTGACAATTGCGCGGTCATGCAACATTGTACCCATATGAAATTTTGATAATTTTTTTCTCACAAATAGAGCTTTTTTTTGGTGGTATTTAATCGCCACTGGGCGCTTTACGTTTTGCGCTATAAACAATAAAATTGCAAAAAATTAAAAAAAAAAAAAAAAAGTTTCTTTGTTTCTATTATAAAATTTTTCAAACAGGTAATTTTTCTCCTTCACTGATGTGTGTTGATGAGGCAGCACTGATGGGCACTGATAGGCGGCACTGATGGGCACTGATAGGCAGCACTAAAGGGCACTGATAGGCAGTACTAATGAGGTGGCACGGATAGGCGGCACTGATAGGCAGCACTAATGAGGTGTCACGGATAGGCGGCACTAATATGCAGCACTGATAGGCGGCACTGATGATGGGTACTGATAGACGGCACTGACTGGCATCACTGCTGGGCACTGACTGGCGGCACTGACTGGCACAACCGCTGGGCACTGACTGGTGGCACTGACTGGCAGCACTGCTGGGCTGCACTGATGGGTGGCACTGGTGGGCAGCACTGGTGGGTGGGCACAGGTGGGTGGCACTGGTGGGCACAGGTGGGTGGGCACAGTTGGGTGGCACTGCTGGCACAGGTAGGTGGCACTTCTGGGCACAGGTGTGTGACACTGCAGAGTGGCACAGGTGGGTGCATTGCTGGGCACAGGTGGGTGATCTGCTGGGCACAGGTGGGCGGAGCTAGTGGGCGCACTGCTGGGCACAGGTGGGCGGAACTTGTGGGTGGCACTGCTGGGCACCGATCATGTGATGTCCACCCAGAACTGGCCGGCCGCAGTGCAGCCGTCATTTGGTATCTGCGGTCGGCAACTAGTTAAGAGGCTCAGGAGTGACCATGAGATGTCACTGTGTTTACAATCATGCCACAGATCCAGTTTTCTATAGGTATTAATATCTTTGAATACCTACAGGTTGCAGTCTGATAACTTGCATATTACTACTGTCCAGCGCAAAATTACCTAATGAATGGATATAAATAAAGGGGGGTATCGGATGTATATTTCTCTCAGGAGGGGGGTGGGGGCCTAATCCACTCTGGTACCTTCTAGCATGTGGTGTTTGGGCTCAAAATGCTGCCAATTAACTAAAGGTAAATACTGTATATCCTTATTCTGGCTGTACTGTTACTATTTCAGAAGTTATGAAATACACTGAAGTTTTCGAGTCTTGGTTAATAACCAGTCAGTTAGGATTGCATACTGACTATTCCACCAGCTGAGCTGATTATGACTGATAAACGACTAATACATCTGAGACCAGGGCAGGTACACTATATGCCAAAGAGTATTGGGACGCCTGCCTTTACATGCACATGAACTTTAATGGCAACCCAATCTTAGTCTGTAGGATTCAATATTGAGTTGGCCCACCCTTTGCAGCTATAACACCTTCAGCTCTTCTGGGAAGGTTGTCCACAAGGTTTAGGAGTGTGTTTATGGGAATGTTTGACCATTCTTCCAGAAGTGCATTTGTGAGGTCAGGCACTGATGTCGGATGAGAAGGCCTGGCTTGCAGTCTCTGCTCTAATTCATCCCAAAGGTGTTCTATCAAGATGAAGTCAGGACTCAGTGCAGGCCAGTCAAGTTCCTCCACCCCAAACTCGCTCATCCATGTCTTTATGGACCTTGCTTTGTGCACTTGTGTGCAGTCATGTTGGAACAGGAAGGGGCAGGGGCCGATTGACCATTTGGAAACTCCGGCACTGCCCGAGGGCCAGGGTCAGTAGGGGCCCCATGAGATGCCCCTGGTACCTTTTTCATAGGCTTTTTTGAGTTTGTGCAAGGACACAGGGGCCCCATGATCCCCTATTGCCCGGGAACCCCATGAGTTGTCAGTCCACCCCTGGGAAGGGGCCATCCCCAAACTGTTCCCACAAAGTTGGGAGCATGAAGTTGTCCAAAATGTCTTGGTACGCTGATGCCTTAAGAGTTCCATTCACTGGAACTAAGGGGCCAAGCCCAACCCCTGAAAAACAACCCCACACCATAATCCCCCCTCCACCAAACTTTACACTTGGCACAATGCAGTCAGGCAAGTACCGTTCTCCTGGCAACCGCCAAACCCAGACACGTCCATCGGATTGCCAGACAGAGAAGCATGATTCGTCACTCCAGAGAACACCTCTCCACTGCTCTAGAGTCCAGTGGTGGAATGCTTTACACCATTGCATCTGATGCTTTGCATTGCACTTGGTGATGTAAGGCTTGGATGCAGCTGCTCGGCCATGGAAACCTATTCCATGAAGCTCTTTACATTGTTGTTGTGCTAATCTGAAGGCCACACAAAGTTTGGAGGTCTTTAGCTATTGACTGTGCAGACAGTTGGTGACTTCTGCACACTATGCGCTTCAGCATGCGCTGACCTCGCTCTGTTATGTTACCTGGCCTACCACTTTGTAGCTGAGTTGCTGTTGTTCACAGTTGCTTCCTCTTTGTTATAATACCACAAACAGTTGACCATGGAATATTTAGTTGCAAGGAAATTTCACGGGTAGACTTATTGCACAAGTGGCAACCTATCACGGTACGACGCTTGTATTCACTGAGCTCCTGAGATTGACCCATTCTTTCACAAATGTTTGTAGAAGCAGTCTGCATGCCTAGGTGCTTTATTTTATACACCTGTGGCCATGGAGGTGATTGGAACACCTGAATCCAATGTTTTGGAGGGCTGGCCCAATACTTTTGGCAATATAGTGTATTTGTTAAAATTCTAGTCACTCAAGCTTGCAAGTTTTATGAGGGCACTGAGATGTGTTTTGGTGTTAGATTCTGCTAATCCTATGATAGAACTGACAAGGGTGTGTTTGGCGGGCAGCTAAAAGTTTGTTGATTGTATAAACCGAAGGAGGGAAGGTCACTGCTGTTATGTCTCCTATCCTGACAATATGGCATGGGTGACCTGGGACCTGAACAACATGGCTGCCACACACAGTTTTTCGTATACTTGGCACGCACGACCATTACACCTGCCACCTCTCCTGGATTAATCCAAAACTCTGGCACTGTAAAGATGCCACACAGTATTCCTGCAGCTGGACCAAATTTCTAATGCTTGCTATAGGGTATATCCTGCATTGCACCTCAAAGATTAAGGAGAATTTCAGTGCTCTGGCACTCAAAATATTTGTGGTAATTATTTTTTTTCAGATAATACACTCTAATGTTTGTGTTAAGACAAAACCTACTTTGTCCCCTGACCCTTTGGCCTAACTAAACTCTAACCAAAACATTTCTCTGAAATAATACACTATATTCATGATAAAACCTGCCTCATCTCTTCACCTTATATTACAGTTTAGCTAAGTTGCTTACTTATTGTCCAGCCAAGGTATATTTGTGGCTATTGTTTCACAATACATGCCAATGTTTATTTCAAAATAAAACCTGCCTTGTCTCTCACTTCTTTGTTGCGGCGCTACCAAGCTGCTTACATATTGTCAATTACTGTGCAATATTTCAGGCTATAATCTCATAAATAACACACTTTAATTTTTATTGCAAGATAACACCTGCCTTGTCTTTATCTATTTGTTGTTTATTCAGATGCTTCTGTACTGTGCTGAAGTTAGGTACCGTAGTTTCCTCCAAAAGCATACCTCAAGTGTATATCTTGAATATTTTGGGAATAATCAGGGATATGGGGACGGGAGGAGATTTGGGGAATTACGTTTTATTAAACGTCATGAAGACAATGCACTGTAGTTCTCCAAAAAAAAAACCTCACAAACTATACTAATAAATATTTTTGCTACTGGCTAAATTGGACTAAGTTGGGGGCTTTAGCTTTATTTTTTGTAAAAGTAAACTTTCCTATAACTTTTAGATTTGTAGTGGCTACTATTTCCACAAGTCAATTCAGACATATTACCGTTCAATAAAATCAGGTGTTGTGGCCAATGCTACCTAAAAAGATCATTTTTTTGTAAGTTGAAAGGAATCAGATTGTGGAGCCCCTGAGAATTGTAGTGTTCCAAACCAATTTTACAGCTTAGAGGCATCACCCAAGCATGTAATTTAAAGGATTGGTGCTTTTTCCATGTCCCCCATTGAAATTGTAATAAAAAGACCCTTTCCCTGCTGTATGGTATTTTTAGAAAAGTTTCTTAAATGTCATATATGTCTATATTAGAGTGCCTAGCTCCCTGCACCTTGCAAAACAATTGGCCATAATTTAGCAGCAGGATTCACCCCCTACAGTCTTGAACTGAGCAGATTCAACTATCTTTCCTAAGTTGTATCCAGCTTGTGTGGTCACACCGGTTGACATCTTATAAAAGGTACACCCCATCTGGATTTGGCCAATATTATAATGTAATGGGTCTGATTTATGACATTGTCAAGTGAGGCGAAATGAAATGCAGGCGGATTTAAAAAAATGCTTCTTGTTCACAATGTGTCTATTAAACACATTACTTTCACCTTACTACAGATTAAATTTTACCCCATTTTGATAAACCAGGCCCTTACAATAGGCATACTTTTAGTAATTCCTTCTTTTGTTTATTTTGGAAGCCAGAAGCCTTCCTCTTTTATTCCTTTCTTTTTACTGCCCTGGAAACTTGCATTGTTCACATGAAGAGAATATATTTAAATTGCAATGAGAATATGGGAAGTCAGGCGTCCCACAGACAAAGCTGCTTTTCCTGACGTCAGCTTCAGCAGTAATGTTTACAAAGTATGAGCAAAAGTAACTTTAACACAATTCCATAATATCTAAGTGTGGTCATAGTTCTTTTAGTACAGTACAGTATATCTATATCTGTATGATAATATATTATGGCTGTAAGTTATGAGATGAGATATATTATGGGTGATTTTGCTAACTAAAGAGCAAAAGAATATTTGTATTACATAATTGTTTGTTGTACAGTAGTATACAGTGCCATCTGTAGGTTACCTTGTAGAATACTACATGGCTAATAGAGCAAAGGTAATACTTTTTTCACGCAATGGAGTAGATTTACTAAAATCTGGTGCAACTGTGCATGGTAGCCAATCAGCTTCTAACTTCACCTTGTTCAGTTAAGATTTAACAATAAAACCTTTTAAGATGAATTTCTATGCAGAGTTGCACCAGATTTTGCACTTTCCAGTTTTAGTAAATAAACCCCAATACATCCATTCTAAACTCTACTGTGATTCTAATGTCTTATCATTTTTACATTTATACGTAGGGATGAGCGAATCGAACTTGGCGAAGTGGAATAAGTTTCGAATATTAGGAAAAAATTCGATTCGCGCCGAATCCGAAAATTAGCATACTTCAGATGCGCGAATCGAAATTTTTCCAAAAATGGCGGCGACATGTGTGGCGATGGAGCGGGGATCTCTGGGAAGGCGCGCAGACAAGGCGCGCTGACCATAATGCATTCATTCATGACATGTGATCGCATTAGCCAATCAGCAGCCAGCCAGCACTGTGTAATGGTGGAGCTATAAATTGCGGCCATCTTACAATTCTCCATTTGCCTCCGGTCATTCAAGAGAGACAGACCTCTCTGTAGTAGGGACAGAGTTAGGGCCACAGATACTTTAGGGACACAGAATCGTTACTTAGGGACACAGAATTGTTACTCAGGGACACAAAACTGTTACTCAGGGACACAGAACTGTTACTCAGGGACAGACACAGAATTGTTACTGAGGGACACAGAATTGTTACTGAGGGACACAGAATTGTTACTGAGGGACACAGAATTGATACTCAGGGACACAGAATTGTTACTCAGGGACACAGAACTGTTACTCAGGGACACAGAATTGTTACTCAGGGACAGACATAGAATTGTTACTGAGGGACACACAGAATTGTTACTGAGGGACACAGAATTGTTACTGAGGGACA